TGCAAAAATTGGCCTAAAAGAGAGATAAAGAGGCAAGTGGTAGTAGGAGACCTCAAACAGCATGAGGTCCTTGATCAAACATGAAAAGGGGCTCAAAATATGACTATTTACAGTTTGGGTCGGAGCCCAAAAAAGCTAGCAAGTATGGCTTAAATAGCATGCAAAACAAGGCAAGAAAGAGGGAAAATGGGACTCACCGTTGTAGAACCAAGCTTCAACAACTTTTGGGCCAAGTTTGGGAGCTCTTCACCTCTGGAAAGGATCCTCAAGTTGCTGGAATGAGGGATGGAGGCCTTGTGCTATGAGGTGTAGGGTAAATGGTGTAGAACTTAAGGGGTTTTGGTGCTTGGAGTAGAGAGAGAGAGAGATTGAATGCAAGAGCTCCAAACAAGATTTTGTAACCTTTTTAAATGCAGCTAGAAGTGCTGGTTTTATAGGGAAAGGAGTGGAGGAAAAAGGGGGGAAAATCATATTCAAATTTCCCCCCAAAAGACCCCCCCTTGGATACAGGATTTGGGGGGAAATAGAGGGTGCAGCTGTAAGGAACCAGGTGAGACGGTCATGGCCGGCCAGGTTCAGAAGGTTCAGGGGGCCGGCCGACCACCCCCCATGGCCGGCCGACCAAGGGTCAAAACGGTCAAGGATAATTGCTGGTCGGCCACCTCAAAAAGGTGGCCTCCCATGTGTGCACAACACAACTATGTGGTTGAAACTCGGAGAATGTGAACCAGGAGAGAGAAAAACCCATTTTTTAGAGGGGTTCAAAAGGGTCAGGCACAATTACTGGTCGGCTACCAAATATTGGTGGCCTCCCAGGTGTGTACAACACAAATATGGGGTTTAGGGTTCAAGAAAGTGGCCCCGGGGTGGTCAACATTGGCTTTTTAGTGAGGAAAACGGGCGACGGAGAGCGATGAAGAAATAAAGCTGGCTTTTTCGGAACAATTGCTGGCCTCCCACCCTCCTACAAGCTTCCTAACTATGAAAATAAGGTCTCCACCAAAAATGAACCAAAACGGATGCAAAACGGAGGTTCGGGGAACCGAAACGCGCGGCCCGGGGCCCCGAAAATGGGCTGTTAAGCACCGGAGGTGGCATTCGACCACGAAGTTGGTCTCTCGGGCCACAGTGTTCCTCAAAAGGGAGGAAATAAGGTGTGTGCCAAAAACCGGAGCAAAGGGAGGTGGTTAGGCGGTCCAGAACCGAGGCACACGGCCGTAGGCTCCGAAAAAACGGAAATCGGGCTCCAAAATGGGAAAAATGGCCTACGACCACGAAACGTAGCCTACGGCCACTGAGAGATGATCTACGAGACACCTCTCTCCCTTCGGGAAGAGAAAATAGAGAAAACAGAGCCTGGTTCGCAAACCGAGGCAAGGCACGAAAGAGTCCGGAAGTCTAGAGGCAAGGCTTGTAGCCGGGACTCTAAAACTTCTGAACGAGCACAATATGTAATATCACCGAGCGCTCAACTGGTGACGTCTGAGTCTTAAGGTCGGTCAAAAATGGGGTGTTTACAGCTGGCCAACAACAGGGCACTGTCGGCCAAGGATGAGAGTATGCCGGCCATTAGTGGTGCACTACCGGCCACTGGTGTGCTGTGACACCAACCTGCAACAAAGCACAAAATAGGGAAAAGAGAGGGTCTCCCAAGGGTGTATACGCACTATGCCACCCCAAATCACCTCAAAACATCAAGGGAGAGGCCTAGTCGGATCCACGACCATCAATCATGCATCCTGATGCATGATGGCCAAAGATCCAACTTGTGCAAATCAATATGAAAATGAATGCACAAATAAAGCAAGTAAAGCCTAGAACTCTATCATGAATCATCAAGAGCTTCCGCGACCGAGAATTGAGACATGTTCCATCACTCAGAGTATGAAACGCCCCTCGTTCCTCGTGCTTGGATTAACACTTAATCCAAACAATGCAACACGTAAGCGTGACAAACATACAATATGAACAACGTGACAAGGCTAATGACATGCAACAAGCACACATGCATGATGTGAGGTAACAACCTTGGACAACATGACAAAATGCAACATGAACATACAACAACATGTAATGAGGCTAGCATGCGACAACATGCAAAGATGGAGCAAGCATATAACAATATGCAAGACAGGCATGCGACAACATGCAAAAGGATGGGCTTAAACTAATGTGGGCAGCTCTCAACTAAGCCCAAATCAGTAGCCAAAAGTGATGAATTGATGGCATGAAAAGCATGAAATGGCAAGGCAAACATGTATGTCAAGTGGCTTAAGTATTAAGGCACAAAGAGGACAACTCTTAAGCACACTTAAGAGCAACAAACATGGGTATATGGTAATGAGGTAAGCTCTGAAATTTCATGTAAAGTGATGCCAAATCAAATCAACAATGCAAGCATAGCATGTTATGATGCTCAAAGCTCAAAGTAAGCAAAGGGACTTAAGCCAAGGCCATACAAGGCAAACCCCAAGGGGCTGAGGGGACCTAAAACAGTCCTAGGGCAGGTCCAAACAAGACCAAAACTAAGCTTAAAGCTAGCCAACATAGGCTAGAACACAAAGCCAAAAAAACATAGAGCATGCAAGGCTTTAAAAAGGCAATGCACTACACCTATTGAAACCAAACATGGCATGACTTTGGTGACATAAAACAGAGTTACATCATGGTATAATAAGACCCAAAATGCACTGAAATGATGAGCCAAAGGCTTAGGCTTAATGGCATGCACAAAAGCTCATTCTTGAGGCATAAAGCACAAGCTCTATAAAGCATTCAAGGCATGTCAAATGCAAGTGTATGAAAACATTTCATGGACAAACAAAACTTAACAGGTACAATTTTGTTAGAAGTGTGCATAACAATGCAATGGAAAGTGCGTGACAACGCAAGTGAGGGGATGCATGACAATGCGGGTGGAAGGGTAGCATGTGGAATGAGGGCAAAGCATGCAAACATCACATGTATGGCATGGTAGGGTCCTCAAAACCCAAGACTAATCTAAGCATTTACACTCTAGCTATAAAAGCATGAGTGATATGGCCATGGCAGCCCAAAACAGTCCTAGAGCAGCCCAAAATAAGCATAAAATCATGTTAGAGCGAAGCCAAAATATGCTAGGATGATGAGTCAAAACACCATGCACAAAGGGCTAGTAAACAAGATTTGTTCTACACCTATATGGAGCATGCAAAGGATGATCAAACCAACTATGGATAGGGTCATGACATGCCAAATGATGACCAAATACATGCTGAAATGTAAACCAAACAAGCTAACATGACATGGCAAAGCATGGAGCATATGAAGCTAGTTTAGGGGATTTACATTACAAGTACATCATACAAGCATGGAGTGACAAAACCAACTAAAAACAGATTCATGGCATGGTAAAACATCACCAAAAATCCACTAAAATGGACTCAATACAAGCTAAGCACACATGCTACTTTGATGAGCTATGAATGGAGTTACTCAACACATACAAGATGCATGCAAAATATGACCAAACCAGCCATGGACAGGACCAAGGCAAGTCCTAAAAGTCACAAAAATAGGCCTGAACCAAGCCTCAAAAATGCATGGAGGGATGGTCCTTTGAAAGGCCAAAAATACAAGCAAAGAAGAACCAAAAGAGAGGGGGCCACCCCCTCTGATTAAGGACCTCAGAACCACACCTTTACTACTGAAAATCCACTGGATTTCAGTGGTAAGAAGGCCAAACCAAGGCTAGCTCAGAGGCCTCAAGGAATGGCTTAAAACAAAGCCAAACAAAGCATGCAAGGGGGCTACACACCCCTAACAACAAAATGACCTTAAGAAAACTTTAAAAGCACTTAGATACAAGACTTTTTTCAGTTATAAGCAAAGCCCAAATCAATATGCAAGGAGGGCTAAAGTGAGGTACAAGAAGGTGCAAAAATGGGAAAAATACTCACCCTTGAAGACCCTCTTCGTAACCAGCAACTTCAGGGGGTGGAAACCAGTTTTCCGAGCTCAAGAATCCCTCCCAAGAAGCTTAGTCCAATGGTGGTGGTGTATCTCTATGTGTTGTAGTGTAAAAGTGCAAGGAAATCCAATTAATGGTGGTGGTGTATCTCTATGTGTTGTAGTGTAAAAGTGCAAGGAAATCCAATTTCTAAGGACAAAATACAAATAATATAGAGAGAATGAGAGGTTTTTTTTCTTCAAAATGGCTGAACCTCTGTTAAAGAGGGAGGCCTCTTGCTTATATAGAGGAATGCAAAGCCAAAGCTTCTTCAAGAAACTTTGCAAGGGCTTCATCCCTCCATACATGTGTATGGAGGGGAGCAAACAAAAATCCAGCTGGCTCAAAAGATCTGGAGGAAAACCAGCTGAGACAAGGGGGTACCGGCCATCATCAATGGCCGGCAGTGGCTCACTGATGGCCGGCAGGGCATCACCAATGGCCGGCAGTGCCATGCCATGGCTGGCAGTGAACCAAAAGGTCCACTAAGAGAGGACCTAGCCAAGGTCCAAGAAAGGGACAGAAAGGATACAAGGTCTGGGAAGCTCGAACCCGTGACGTTCTGCCGCGACAGTCGAGTACTCAGCGAGCAATCGAACTAGTTGTTGGGTGTACCTACAAGCACAACCAAGTCTTGAGAACGGTCAAAAATGGGGTGTCTACAGTTAGCAGCTAACCAATCCATTCCTACGATTACATCAAAGGTACTAATGCCAAGGGGTATCAAGTCTACGTGTAAGGTTTCACCTTTTAAGGATACAGTACAAGATTTGTATACATTAGTACTGAGGGCGGAACTTCTAGAGGGAAAAGACACAGATAGTATGTATCCTAAGGGTTCGGGTGTTGATGTCAACTTGGTAGCAATGTGTGGTGTAACAAAAGAATGAGTTGAACCAGAGTCAAAGAGAACATGGGCTAAGTGACCATAAACAGAGAGTGTACCTAACACAACATTTTCAGTAACTTCTGGGTTTCCAGGCACCAGGGCAAAAGCTCTTCCTTGGCGTTTTTAGTCCTTTCTCGCTCCTTCAGGTACTGCGGGTTTTCGGACTGGTTCAAAGGGGCGGACGAGTGTTGGACAATTTCTCAGCCAATGGCCAACTTGCCCACATCTAAAGCATGTTCCTGTATCTTGACGGCATGGTCCCCAATGAGTCCGTCCACAGGTAGAGCAAGCTGGAGTGATGCCTCCTTTAGGGTTTGCAAGACTTTGATTGCTTGGACCGGTTGAACTGGTTGTGCTCGTATTTATTCTCTTGGGAGGTGCGACACCGGGCATTCTGTTATCTCTTTCCCAAAATCGCTTCCTCTGACTTGGCTCCCCAAATCGCAAGGCTTTAATTCCTTTTTCCGCAATGTATGCTCGATCTACCACCGCCGCATAGGTTGGTAGTTTCAGAACCTCCAGCATGTTTTTAATTTCTGGATCCAACCTTGCTTCAAATTTCCTGGCTTTTCGAGCTTCGGTGGGAATGACATATGTCGCGAACCGGGCCAGCTGTGTGAACTTACTTTCATATTCGGCCATTGTTATGGTTCCTTGCCTTAGATGTATAAATTCTGACGCTTTTTGTTCCCGTAGTGAATCTAGAAAGTACTTTTCATAGAATACTTCTATAAATCTCGCCCAAGTCACAATATCTTCCTTTTCCAGGGTAAGGAGCCACCATTCTTGTGCATCGTCTTTGAAGGTGAAGGTGGCAAAAGTCACCTTCTGTCTTTCTGTGCAAGGTAGTGCGCAGAAGATTTTCTCCATGTCTCTGACCCAGGCCTCTGCTATTAGTGGGTTTGGACTGCCGATAAACGTGGTGGGTTTTAGCTTCTAAAATTGTTTAACCGTAGTCGGTTCTTCCCGTCTTTCTAATGTCCCATTGGTTATACTGCTTTGCAAGGCCTGTAAAAAGTTGGTGACTGCCCTTTCCATGATCTGTTCCATTGGGATGGTACCGCTGACTGATGATCCGGTTTCATTTCCTTCGTTGGCCATTACTACAAGGTAAAATGATATAAGTGTGACATTACATTGATATAATTTTGATACAACGTCATACATAACATATTGGTTCTACTATCACCACAATCCTATATAACGTATTAGTTTTGCTATTAATATCACCTCATTCATATATAACATATTAGTTTTACCATCATGTTAATATTAATGCCATATATATATAGACATCATTGTTACCATACATAGGGCGTTAGTCTGGTGGTCACAAATTAATGTCTAATCCTACCGATACAAAAAGATTAGATTACTCATGGTCAGCTCACAAAAAGGGTCTTCTGGTCAGACATCTAGAATGGTCCATTAGGCCACCAGGAGAACTGGCTTCGGAAAACTGGTCTATGAAACAACCCCGAAAACTCACTTTGCATGATGGACTCAAACTCCCACCCACTAAGCTCAACTCCGAAGCAGCTCCATACTACCTGAACCATGTAAACAGGAGCACCGTGATCATAACCCCAGAATTCCCGTCCAGTAATCCCTATCAGTGTCTCCAAGTATGATGCACCGTTGGTAAAGTCCACAGCTGGGATATAGGCAATGTGCTGGGAAGGTGGTGTCGTGGTGCGAATGTGGCTACTAGGATATGCGGGTCCCCTCCTCTCTGTAAAGCCTACAGGTAGAGGTGTGACTAGAAAATGTGGTGGTTTTAGGTCCGGAGCAAGACCAACAACGTGGGTCGATCCTATGTACCTTTCACGAGTGCTACCTCGGCTAAGTCTCCAGAATAATAAGTCCTCATCGGGGTCAGCTTGTAAATAAACGGATCTTTCCATGAGATGGTCAAGTGTTGGATGGGCTTGCCTGACAAGACTCTCTGAGTCACCCCAGCCCTCTAATTGGTTCGGGAGAAGATGAGCTTCTGGGGGCTCGTACCAGAATAACTCCATTAGGTTCGCCATTTCCTACAACACAAAAAAACTTAGCCTAGACATATATATAACATGGTTTATTTGCGTTAGACATACCA